TCTGACCCATAAGCTGGGTATCCTACAAGGAATTCAGTTCTGATACTATCTACCTGGAATTAGCATTGAAGCCCAGAGTTAGGGGCCCAGTCCCACAAGGCCCCCCTGCCCTCTTTTTAGCTGCTAATCACAAGTTCAAGTTGTTATCTATAATGCTGTCCCACCAGCTGAAATCAGAGATTCCCACTACCTCTTTCTTGGGTCCAATTAGTTTGCTATAGTAGCTCATAGAACTCAGGAAAACATTTTGCTTACTAGATGACCAGCTTATTATAAAAAGATACAATCCGAGGGCGCCTGGGTGGCTCAGTTGGTTGAGCGTCTGACTTCGGCTCAGGTGATGATCTTGCGGCTGGTGAGTTCGAGCCCCGCATCGGGCTCTGTGCTGACAGCTCAGAGCCTGGACCCTGCTTCAGATTCTGGGTCTCCCTCTCTCTCTCTCTCTCTCTCTCTGCCCTCTCCCGCTCAAGCTGTCTCTCTCTCTCAAAAATAAATAAACATTAAAAAAAAAATTAAAAAAAAGATACAACCCGAGAACAGCCAGATGGAAGAGATGTACAGGGCAAGGTATCCGGGAAGAGGCACAGAGCTCCCACCCTCTCTTCAGGCACGTCACGTACCAGCACCTCTCTGTGTTCACTAACCCCAAAGCTTTCTGAACCCCATCCTTTGAGCTTTTAAGGAGACTTCATTATGTAGGCAAGATTGATTAAATCATCACCAGCCTCCTCTCCCTACTCCTGGGCTTGGGGCTGGGGGATAAGGGAGCTGAAAGTTTCAACTTTCTAATCACGGGGTTTGGTTCCCCCAGCAACCAGACCCCATCGTTAGGGTTTTCCAAAAGTTGATTCATTAACATAAACACAGGTGTGGTTGAGGGGGGGTTGTTATGAATTACAAAATAGACCTTTATTACTCTTATCACTTAGGAAATTCCAAGGGTTTTAGGAGACATGCACCCTGAACTGGAACCAAAACCAAATATATTATTTCTTATTATAAATCACAATATCACAGAGGGAAAATCATCTGTGGAGAATGAGGGCATGAAGGATGAAGCTAGGTCTGCGGAAGAGTAGAGACGATAAGGAAGATCTCTTGCAGAACGCCCCTAAGTAACCCCGTGATAGATGGCGGAGAAGCAAGAACCAAGTTTACTAGGGATGGCATAAGTTAGAGTAAATGTTCCAGCAAAGCCCCTCTCTGTCTCCAAGGCAGCATTTATTTTTGTAGCTACATGGCATGAATCATAGGATGACAGAAAGAATATGAGGATAGAAGTTGGAAATGGCATTGGAGTTGGGAGACATAAATGAAAGTTTGATCTCTTTGATGAAATGTTAGAAAAGCCTCTGGGATCTCAGTTTCTCCAGCTATAAAATGGGGGTGGGGTGGACCTCAAAACTGAAAGCCCCTAAGGTCTCTATTAGTGCTCCCTATTTTAGTCTGGGATCATTACATGCTACAGGATAGTGAAAAGGGGGCAGATTCTGTGATGGAGGTTGAGAATAAGCAGACTGATATTTCACTAGTGGAATGATTGTTTCCAGAAGTGAAAGGTAAATACACTCATGCAAGTACAAAAACAGGAAGTAACAATTTACACTAAGTTATAACTTCACACATTTTTGCTTTGCAATTTGCAGTTCTTTCTGGATATGTTTGACTGATAGATTCACAGATAGATACAATCTCTATGGAGAGACCATGATTTTGATCGCCCTGGCATACCTTGCAAAAGTATTGAACTAACATCCGAATTTACAACATAATCCCCTACAATTTAGAAGGTGCCTTATCACGTGGTCATCACACGGCTTTCACAATGCAATCAAGAGAAAAATCAACAAACTCAATCTCACAAACGAAATTCAAAGGGACACGTTTCACCTTCTCCCTTTATATCCTTGTCAAAGATAGAGAGACTAGGAGGAATTTAAACACCATGGCATCATATCTGTCACAGCCATATCTTTTTAGTAGGTAGAGAGCTCATTTTTCAAGGCTACCAGTCCATTAACCTTCACAAGAACAAAAATAAAGCAAAACAAAGAAACACTCCCTGGAGAAATGGCATCTCTCCTAATCTTGCTTATATATCTTACCGTGGGGATTTGAAGATGGAACAAAGACCTCTAGCACCCCAGGCACACAAAACGATACAGATGCCCTGAAATAAATATATAAATGCCTGTGGTGCATCGTGTAGACAAATTTGTGATTATTTTTTTAAATGATAGTGGGGTTAGAGAGAGTAACTGATATCATCCCTGCTGAATCTGTCTTACCCTGTGATTTGTAACTGGGAGGGCCGAAGTGTCAACCCCATTTATTTTTTAATGTCTTGGCCTGTTCTTGTTTGCCCTTACCTAGATTCATTCAGTGTGTATATCTGGAACTATTAGTTTCCTGATAAATGCAGTGTCAGAAAGCCAGAGGCCAATGATAACATAGGAAAGAAGGAGCTCTTGCTTGTTTTTATACATTTTTGTTTGACTTGGGAGATAATTATAACCCAGATTGATGCTCCTATTTTAAACAAGGTAGTAAATCAGCATGAAATATAGGATTGGGGAAAGCCATTTGCCACATAATTATAATTTCTTAAAATTCCCGTGTTCACTGAATATGAGAAGCTATAATCATGCAATATATAGCAATGGCATTACTCATCTTTTTCTCTCATGGAAGACAGTTACATAAACTGAAGTTGCGAATTTTTAAATATTATTAGTTACAAAGTTTAAATACCATTAACTGAAGCAAAGCAAAAGCATATGTTGTTTGGTCTGAGACCTAGCTTCCAGTGGGGGAAAAAACACAGATTCAGTAAGCAAGATTTAAAAAATGATTCAGCACACTTCCCTTAAAAGTCCTGTCTTTTCCACAGATAAAGTTTATATATCACCATGAGACAATGTAAAAGTGTAAGACTTTCATCAATATAGGAGACCAGAAGCAAAGTAGGACCAAAAGAGGGATTTGGAATCAGAAAGAGACAGGTGAATGCGGACTCTGGCAGGGGTTATACACAAAATACCTATCAATGACATAATAGGGATAAGGACCCCTCAAGAAGGAGGCGTTCCAGTGCAAAGCCCTGAAGACCCCCCTCTTACGCCAGCATTTATCTTTCGGCTGCTAGATTACGGGCAAGGATTATGGAGCTAAGATACTGGGTTTTGGGGGCTACCCAGGATACCTGAGAAATGAACCGATACAGATGTATCTGCCTAACTCCCTTGCAGAAGTAGTTGGAACTACTCTGAACTAGTATAACCAGCAAAGTCATACTGGTGCATACTTACTGAACATTAGCCCTGGGTGACATCTCTTAACTGTGTGCCTTTGGTAGTTTAAGGATCTTCCTGAGCCAGCCACGTGAGAGAAACAAAAGTGGTGTTTTTAGCTGTTTTTTTTGGCTGCTGTTCTAAGACTGCTTTCAGCTAAAGGGAGAATTCAGACCTCTCTCTTTCTTTCCCTTTCCCTATGGCATCCAGTACACCTTCCACTCAGGGCGAAGGGCGAGTCCCAGAAGACAGCAGAGGGGCTTCGGCAGTTTGAGCCAAATGCAGCTAAGAGGCAGAGTCGCCTCTCAATCCTGTCTTCTGGCTCACGGGTGAGCCCACCTAGGAGCCGACAAGAGAAACTGGTCCTTGTTGAAGCATTCTCAGGGCGCATCATGTCTCTTCCTTTTCTCCCGTTTTGGCTCCGTTATTTATTTGTGCATAAAGGATGCAATGATATTTCTGTCTTGAACTGCTTGGAATGTAGTATCCCTAATTATGATACGGCACAGCAACAATTATGTACAATAAACACCTATCAGCTTAACTTCGCACAGCCTTTGTTGGCTACAAAAGAAAACTCTTACTCATTCATCACAGTTATCAATAATGGAAACATTGTGATCACCTTATTTCAAAGGGGCATCACTGATATGTCCCTTGCGTATACTGTGTAGAGTAAACCTTCCACATGTTTCAGAGAATCACAACTAAAGTCTCATCAGTAATTCTGGACACTACACTGTTGGAAAAAAAAAAAAAAGCCATACTAAAAAAAATCGTAAGAATTATCAGAGAATGAGAAAACACATAGAAGATTTAAGGGGTGATTAAAAGAACAAGATTTACTAACAGTGAAGAAAAGAGAAATATTGTGGATGTAAGATAAAGAAAGGTGAGAAGTTTGCTTGTTGTTTCATTTTTCCATTCCATATTAAAGGGCCTTTGCTTACAACCTGCCAATATAGTGTTTTGTTTTAACTGGGAAAAGATTGTCAGCAGGAAATATAGAAGATATAAAAGTAATTTATATTTGCAAACATTTTTAGGTTAGTGATTCCAACTGTTCTCTACTAAGACCTCTTTTCACCACGCTTCTCCAAAAATTCCCTACTTTGAATTTTTAAATACAAATTATATCTATCAAATAAAATGGATTTTTTTTCTTATTTTTAATTAATCAGAATTATCTGTATCTGAGCTATAATACTTAGAGCTTCAGAGGAACATAAAGCAACAGAAAACTATATAAAAATATGATATAATTATAATTAAGGTAAAGATATTTTGTAGTTTTAGGTATCCTATATAACCTTCTGCAAACTAAGGTTCAATGTCTGTTATGTTCTTTGGAATATCAAAATGTTTCAAGGAGCCCCACAAGAACCATCTGCAGAGCCGCGGCTATTTAAATATTCCAAATTGAAAAACAAGGGATTAAACTAGTTTAAAATCATCTACGGTTATTTAAATATTCCAAATTGAAAAACAAGGGATTAAACTAGTTTAAAATCATCTAATAAATATGACTTATTCCTACTTGAAGAATTAAATTGAGGTATTGAACGTAGCATAACTGCTTAAACATGACAGAAGAGAACATTCTGGGACTCTTTCAAACCTTTGCCTTCCCCACTCTTTTTTGCACACTCTGTCAAAATCATGACTTGGCTCTGAGATGGCGGGAGCAGAAAGCATCGAGCACGTACTCACCAGCCTGGTTGGTTGTGATGCTGACTGCAGCGAACTGTCTTGGTGGTGAGCTCAGCTCTGACACCCCGTTAATGGCATCGATCTCAAAGGTGTAGTTAGTATGTGCCAGGAGGTCTGTCACTGTCACTGTGGTGTTGGTGAGTCCGAACTGTCGAGGGAGGAAGCGGACATTTGGGCTGCATGGCTCACACTGTTTTACATTCCACCCGCATTTTTTACATATGATGTTGAAGGTAACATCTTTCCGGCCTCCTGTGTCCAGGGGCCAACTCCAGTCCAGGATGACCGAGGTCTCGTTTATGTTAGAGATAACATTTCTTGGTGCAGATGGAGGTCCTGCAAAGTAGTTCAACAAAGATTAATGAGCCTCACTTCTGTTTTCTACTACAAGGGAAATAGATAATTTACAATGGAACCGAAAGAGGTAAATAACCATCTTGTCTCTATTATATACTTTTAATTCGTCCTTAGAGGATCCATGAGATTATAGACACATGGCTTCAAGAGCACTATCGTCCCCAAGCCATGGGCGGGGGAGTTTTGACTCAAAGTTGAAGATACATTCACAAAGTCCAATGAGGGAATTTACTACTAAATTCAATGCCCTTGTGAATAGTTATGAAAACTTTACTATTAGTTTTATAAATCTTAGTCCTTTTTCCCTATGACCTATGACCTACATGTAACGTGAGGGAATAGAAATGTAAAAACACAAATCCCATGACTATAACCTCCCCTATTCTGTCAAATGTAATACAGGATCTAAACCAAGATACAGAAAACTTTCTTTCTTTCTGGGGGTCCTGTTGCAGGAAGTGCTTTAAAAACTAATTCATTTTGCGTGATAAATGTTGCATTTGTGGTGAGCCAGCATGGAGAGTGAAGCAGAGAAAGCTTTCAATTTGCACACGGATAACGGAAGGAAATGGGCCAAATGCTTTAAAAAAAGAAGAAAGAGGCACAATAACCAGAAGGAAAAAAAAACCACAAAATAAAAGAAACATGGAGGCATGGGTTGCAGCAAAACTACTCACGGGTACAAGCCATGGATGGAGGGTCTTTGTCTGCTCGGAAGTACTTATGCTCACACCTGCAGTTCACTGAACCATCTTCGTGGGTAGAACTGTGCGGTGGGCACTTGGCACATTTCACATTACCATCCGAAGCCTTGTAGAAACCTGGTCGGCAAGCTACAAACAAAATCACTCTTTTAAGATTCGGTGATAATTTTGAAAGCGTATTTTTCAAAACACGTAACACAGATTTCAGAATGTTAGGGGAAGAATTCATTAGGAATAAAAAAAAATCCTTTTTTTTTTCCTTCCAGAATTTACAGAAGCAAATAATGTGACCCAGTGTAGTTTCTCCACATATATACATTTGAATTCGCACCAAATGTTAAAGGGAAAAAAGAAAAAAAAAAACCCTGAAGATTTAGATTATTTTGGCACTAGAGTGTGATGAAATTTCCAGCTCATGTTTTCACAGCTTTGCTTGGCATTGAACTATTTGTGGAGAAAAATACAGCAAAGCCATGTCATCATGTAGCCATTCCCTTTTAAAACATGATGCAATGTGTACATTATCTGCGTGCAGTTAGCACTACATTACACACTCACTCTCTCTCTAATTGATTTCTGTGTGTACGGCTCCCTCCCCACAAATTGTAAGCAACTGAAAGGAAGAAATCATGGCTTCCTTGTTTTAAGATTCTTGATGCATCGATTCTCATGAGCTATTTTTTTTTTTTCCTGCCTTGACAGTGTCGTTCCAGTGCTGTAACTTCTACAGCCGTGGCCTACGCTGAAGGTTTTTAAAAATTTCCTTGTCTGTCTTTCAGAAACATAGTGACGTATAATTTCTATTTAAACTGATCTACTTGTAAATAATTACTAGATTAAAGCTTTCTAAATAACTGTTTTCCTCTTCTTTCTTTCTGGCCATCTCTGAATGACATGTTTTGTTGAGCTCCATGAACCGGTCATGAAATATTGATTTCAGATGCCCATTTAGTATTCTTTATATATTTATTGCTTTTACAGAAATACGCCTCTACTGTATTGCTTTTGTTTAATCTGATGTAAAATTCAAAATGCTGTAATGGTTTATATGATCTATTTTCAGAATTACATGGAGAACTGAAATCATAGTAAAAATCCTAGCAAGAAGTCTCTTGACATTGTTTTGAGGATTAAAATCAGAGTCCAGGGGCACTTGGGTGGCTCAGTGGGTTAAGTGGCCGACTTTGGCTCAGGTCATGATCTCATGGTTTGTGAGTTTGAGCCCCGCGTTGGGCCCTGTGCTGACAGCTCAGAGCCTGGAGCCTGCTTTGGATTCTGTGTTTCCCTCTCTCTCCGCCCCTCCTCTGCTTGCACTCTTTCTCTCTCTCAAAAATAAATAAAAATTAAAAATATATAAATAAATAAATAAATAAATAAAATCAGCGTCCACATTTTTTAGGTTTCCTACAGAGTATCTCTGGAAGTCAATGATTTCTTAAATCTCTAAAACTCAATTTCAATGCTATGTTGAGATGTGATGGTTTAAAGCACTTATGTGTAAAATATGCCCTGTAGGTGATCTGAATCCCAGAATTTTCCTATGTCAGCTTCATATTGTGAATAACAGGTTATTTGCATTCAAGTAAAGCCTGTGTGAACAAATCTTAACTTTTATAATCATTAAATGCATTTTGAAAGGTAACACTTTATATCCATAACAGTGTATCTTCCTACTGAATGTTTCTTGAGAAATACACTGTCAAGGGAAATATACTATCAAGATAAACAATTAAAATATCTTAAAATGATAGCAATCATTAATCTAGTCTTGCTGTTTTATAGTTTCTATCAAGAATGGCCACTCTAGGACTATCTTACATTAAATGGAACAACTTTTGGTGCCACATTGAGAGCCACTCAGATAAATTCTATTGCCCTGACCAAACATGGAGTAGGCTCATAAACTTTTGATCATTCTTCCTAAGCATTGGTTAGAAACTTCCACTCATATCTCATGTCATATCGCCTCTAGGGGAAATGATACAAAGTATAAACAAACTAAGCACTTAACTTCTGGTTTCAATTTAGCTCACTGAGTGCCTTTAAGTTTGCAAGATGGCAATGCTCAAGTGTTTAAAAGATTGAGTTGCACTGTTCCAGTGTATTTTGTGTTTTGGTTGCTTGTAAGTTTATCTGTATGTTTTTATTTGAGGTTTTTATGGTTTTTACAACATTTAGCATAAAGGTATTCACTAAACAATCACTTTTTGTCAATATTATAAATGGCTATACTCTGTGATAGTTAAAGAAAAGGCAAGTCATATAATCATTTCTTAGCTACAGCACAGGACTTCTAATAATAACTTGAAAGTAGCTACAGTCAATAAACCTTTAAGTTAAGAATGTGACACAGACTAGTAACTAGACTTTATCTAAATGATTAAATAACCTTAGATATAATAATAGTAAAAGATAGGTAGACACACATACATTCTGCTTAATAAATATCTGTTAATCATTTACTCTTCTTCAGGCTTTTTGTTAGCCTTGAAGATACAAATGTCCCTAGTTCTGTCCACCTTAAAAGGGCCCTTGCAATTGAAATTGAAAGTGGGCACCAGACATTTGACACAGGCCCCAAGGAGCAAACATTCCATTCTGATTGAGCTGTTGGAGGAAATACAGAGAAGGAATTTCACTTGAGAAAGATCATGAAAGGATAGCAAAAGGCCTGTAAGTAGCATAATTAAATACACAAATAGATCAACAGGAAAAGACAAGCGGTTAAGTAGAGGAACTTGATGGGTACTGTTGGTTGCATACTAAACACCTAAATCTGCTTTCTGCTTGCTCACAGAATTTTGATTTTGTTCACAATCACACTCTGCCAAGTTCTCCCTTACACAGACGTAATTGCAAATAGTTATGGATGGCCAGAGTGATAGCCCAAAGATGGGCAAAGAGATACAAACAGAAATCTGACGAAAACCATTAAAATATCTTTTTTTTTCCTAAGAAGATGGTCCAAATGTAAGCCATTCTACCTATATAATTCCAGCATTGATTCTTGGCATAATGGTTTACATGTGACAATAAGTTAAAGGCCAAGAAAATTAGGTGTGTAATCTGCACTTGCTGATTCAGCTAGCACCTCTCTCAATATTTCTTAGAATGTCAGAAGAATAACACCCTATTTGTGTAGCTGTCCATGGGCAAGTTTTTTTTATCACTACAGCAGAAAGTATTTCCAAAGGATCTAAGACAAGCAGAGAATGCAGTTGAGAGGTACTAAATAGAATTATAGACTAATGGAGCTAAGAAGATCCCAATAAATCACACTGGCCAGTCTGTGCGTTATATGTCTGAGGACCCAGAGCTCCAGGACTTTGGATGACACACAGGGACAGCCTCTACTCTGTATCTTCCAGCACCTGGTAGCTTGCTGATAGGCTTTACCTATCCAATTTGTTGATATTTATCAAGTTTCAACTATATGCAGAATACAATGATAGATTATATAACAACACCCTAAATTTTGTAGACATCTTTACTCTTTCTGAAAAGCTTTCATATGTACCGTCTCAACTGAATCTCACAGCAGTTGTGTCAAAATCACTGGAACAGATGTTACTCTACTAATTTTACAGAATGGGCAATTAGAGCATACACAGAAAAAGTAGCATCTCCAAGATAACAAAGAATTCGTGGTATAATCTGAAAGAGAAGGGGCACGTGGGTGGCTCAGTGGGTTAAGCATCTGACTCTTGGTTTTGGCTCAGTTTATAATCTCACTGTTGGGAGACTGAGCCCTGTGTTGGGTTCCATGCTGAGTGTGGAGCCTGATTGGGATTCGCCCTCTCTCTCCCTATCTCTCTGCCCCCTCCTGCTCACCGCCCCCCTCTCAAAATAAATAAACATTTAATAACATGTAAGAGATTTTTTGGCTTTTAATTTTATATAGATTGCTTATTGAAAGCAAATTATTCTCTAGAACCATGAATTATTTTTCTAAAATTCTAAGCTGCTGCTATGACACTGAAGAATTGTCATCTAAAACTTATTTAATTAAATGAATGCCAAGTCTTTTGTCATCTACTCCTAGTAAGAAACTATTTCAGAAAGGGTAATGTTTTCTCGCCTTTTCTAGGATTTTCTATTTGACGTCTAACATTATTACGGGAAGATGGGTAAGTGTGTTTTTGCTTGAAGAACCGACTCTGCCAACCTCAGGAACAGCACGGTCTGCTACCTATAGGAGACATACAAGTACATTTTTCCTTCTTGCTACAAGCAGGATCTTTAAATCTTTTACCAAAATTGTTCAAAAAATTTGAGAGTATGACTGAATAATTTATATCCACTAGTAAAATTACACTGTTAGGGAACACTCTCTTTAAATGCATATGGAGAAATTCTTTACAAAAAGTACTTACTTTTGAATTTTTCCCAGTAAATAATCTCCTTTCCTTGAGGTTGATTTGTGCTTAAATACCTATCTATCTATTGTACTTTGTTCGTCTTTCAAAAAAATCCTCCTGAATGAATGTGAAATTTTACCTCTAAGGGGCATAAATACTTGTATTTTAGTATCTTGCTTTGAGTGGTAAAAGCAATGACTGTAATTTCAAAGAAATTCCTTTATCCTTGAATGTAAAACTAGTGATAAAGCAATCTGCACATTTCTTTCACTTAAGTATTATTTCAGAGACTGAAAGGTTCAGCATATAAAAAATCAGGTAAAGGAATAGAAAGTAATGTTTCTCTCTTACTCATGGGAAATCTTAGTCAACTTACTATAGAATATCAAGGAAAAAAAACAGGCAAAAAGAGTAGTGATTCAGATATATACAGTTTTAAGGGTTTTTTTTTAATGTTTATTCATTTTTGGGAGAGAGAGAGAGAGAGAGACAGAGTGTAAGTGGGGTGGTGATGGGGGGGTGGGGTGGACAGAGAGAGGGAGACAGAGAATCCAAAGTAGGCTCAGGCTCTGAGCTGTCAGCACAGAGCCTGACACGGGCTGGAACTCACAAGCCATGAGATCATGACCTGAGCTGAAGTGAGATGCTTAACTGACTGAACCACCCAGGTGCTCTTAAGTTTTAAAATAATAATAATAATAATAATAATATGCTAAATAGTTAAGATCTTCCCTGGTGCAAGCCAGCTACTAAAGCAATACTTAAGTAAGA